TAGCTGGGATTACAGGCGCTCGCCACCATGCCTAGCTCAGGGCTCTCCCATCATTCAATCACCTGGGCTGCCCCACTTTACAAAACACAACTGTCATTGACTCTGGAGGCTGAAGAGAGGGAAGCGCCTGGGGTGCTGTCCTTAGGGAGCCGAGCATGTGTGAGTGCAGTGACATCTGCTCATCTGGGGATGTGACTCGGTGAGAGAGCAGCGGAAGAGTGGGACGGTTCTGTGCCCCTCTTGCAATTGCCCCGGGGCAGCTCTCTCAGGTCATGGTCTGTACAGAGCAGCCCCAAGGCTTGGACGGTCCTTAAAGACTGCTGAGCCACCCTCAAGGAACGCAGTACCCCTTAAAGACAGGACCCGCAGCCTACTGAGTTTGGCCAAATGCTGAAACATCTGATAATAAAAACACTGGTGTCTAATAACACAAGATGAAGCAGAAATGTAAACGGATCCCAATCCAAGAAACAGCTGGATAGGAGACTGAAGAGATGTTTCAGGATGAGAACGGGGAAGGGCAATGTTGCCCTAACTTTTCCCAGGCTAAGAATTACCTTCCGGGAGGCTTCTGAAACAAACATCCCCAGATTGAGTGGGAGGCCTGGGAGGTCTGCATGCTGGGCAGGTGACTCTCACCTTCAGGGAAGCTTTAAAAACACCCCTTGGGGGAAAGCTCTAGGCCAGGGCCCATCAGGATTGCTTAACGGTGGGAATGACTCATGGGGTCTGCCACCTGTAACCCCATCTCTAAGTCCCACCTTAGTCTTTGGGGCTGGGAAGGGGAGAAGCCAGCTCGTACCTGGTGAACTGCTGGACAGGAACCCAATCCTTGGCATCAGGGAAACAGAACTGGGGAATGGCCTTCAGTTGGTCCTCAGCCTCTCTCATGAACTTGAAAGATCTTTCCAACTGCAGGGAGAAAGGTGAGAGACGGTTCGAGAACAAACCCCAGCATGGGAGGGTGAGGCAGATGATGGCAAGGATGGCCTCTCCCACCTCTCCACATTTGTGACTGCCGCCTTAACCTCTTCCCTTGGGAAGGGCTTGCAGCTCAGTCTGCTGGGGCGTTCCTCCCCCCAGGGCAGTTCCAACTATACACCTCTGGGAGAAGTCGGGAGGAAAAAACAGTATGCTTGAGAGAAACGTTATCTATGCTTCTCCGCTTGACATTCTAGAATGTAACTATTTCAATGAATAAAAAAACACTGCCAGAGGTCTTTTCCAAATAGGAGGCTCAGGAAACCGGAGGACAGAGCCTCCAATCAGGCCTTTCTATCTCTGGGCCCAGGCAAAGCAGTCCCTTCTCACTCCAGGCAAAGACTTACAACACCCTCAGTGAATACATTCAGTAAAACCATATTATGCTGGGAAATTCAACTAATTTCAGACAGTCTTTGAGTGTTGGAACTAGAAGGAAGCGTGACGCCATCCAGCCTGACATTCTTATTTCAGCAAGAAGGAAATAAGCCCTGAGGTGTGACATGATGTGTCCAGGTCACATGAGTTAATGTTCGAACTAGGAAGAAAAATGATCTAATCTTTTTTTTCTCTCTCTCTCTATGAGATTCTAGCACATCATACAGTATCTGACATATCAAAGACCGGATGAATGTTATCTTGTTAAAGAACAGGATGAGCACTTTGGGAGGCCAAGGCAGGAGGATCACTTGAGGCCAGGAGTTCAAAACCAGCTGGGGCAACATAGTGAGGTCCCATGTCTATGGAAAAAAAAAAAAAAAAAAAGAACAAGGGCCTGGCGTGGTGGCTCACACCTGTTATCCCAGCACTTTGGGAGGCTGAGGCCAGTGAATCACCTGGGGTCAGGAGTTTGAGACCAGCCTGGCCAACACAGCAAGACCCCATCTGTACTAAAAATACAAAAAAATTAGCCACGTGTGGTGGTGGCAGGCACCTGTACTCTCAGTTGCTTGGGAGGCTGAGGCATGAGAACTGCTTGAACCCAGGAGGCGGAGG